GTAGTGAGGAGGCTGATGGCTGGGATGTTGTCTTGGTTTTATCTGTGATAGGACATGAATTGAGGCAGAATATTCCTCTTCCATGCCTCCCTTTCTCCACTGGAAATAAAACCAGCGTTAGGAACGAGCAGGAATGACTCTCCTCCCTCTTTGTGTCTCCATCTGTGATATGCACAGTCTGGGGAAAAGACACAGCCCTGCAGTAGCTAAATTCTGTCCCACCTTTGCGTGGCTTTGTATTGCTTGAAATTTTATAGGTCATGTGCCCCATTAAAATGATTTCCATGCCTGTGTTTGGAGGATCTGCTGTGCCCGTTTTCCTTTATTATCCGTGTGACTGATCCAGGGCCATATGTTAACAATATAACTGCTTTTAATTTATTTTTTTTTCTTAAAAAAACCCCTTGGTGTCTAAATATATCTAATAAAAATGCAGACTGGAGCTCTTTAATGAGGCGTAAGTCATCCCTGCCTCTCTCTTTTTTTCTTTTTTTTTTTAATGAGACAAAACCACCTCACACACCACACTGGCTGCTTTTTGTGGGGACTTCTGCTTTGCATTTCTTCACATCCATCATCGAGTGAAGCCTCTCACAAAGGGAAATAAGAAAAGGCAGTTTAAGAGAGCGATTGGCTGTGCTTAAACCTGAACCCTTGCAAAAGCCGGTGCAGGGGAATCACAGGCCCCCGTGTGTGAGGACGCAAAGTGTTTTGGGGAGGAGAAACGTTTGCATCGGAAAAGAAAAAAAAAAAAAAAAAGAAAAGTTGTGCTTGTTTGGGAAGGGCCTTTCCCCTTTCTCACTGCTCGCAGGTTGATCCCGTGGCCGGTGTGGTGACAGGCCCGGTCTCCTTTCGCTAGAGAGGACACCAAGACTTGCCTCACCAGGCTTTGAGAAGGAGGAGAAGGGAGCCTTAGCAACTCCAAACCGTGATCGAGGGCTGCAAACCAGTGTTTTGTGGGTAAAACAGTAGATCTGTGAGTAATTGCTTAACGATGAAGTAAGACAGAACAGATGACAAAGAAGTCGAAGAGTTTCTGAGAGGGAAGGTAGTCAGGGCTGTGCTTTTTAATTAAACGGCCTCTTTTCAGGGGCAGTCAAACTTTCAGACTTAGCAGGGCCTTGCAATAACAGGAGGTGCTTTATTTACAGGCTGCACATTCCCTCGTGGACACAGGGGCACAAGGATAAATTATTTAATTACAGATATCCAAAGGAGTGAGCCAGGCTCCTGCTGGGCCCTGTTGTCCCTGTGGTTTCCCAGCTTTGCGTGTTCCCTCTCTGGCCAATTCCCAAAATCCAGCCGTTTGCCCGAGCGGTCTCTGGGTTAATAATGTTAATTAGCGAGGTTCTGCTCTGTGAATATTCCTGTAGCCTTCCAAACACACAGAGTGCTCAGCTCCTCACCCGTGTAACGAGCTTGTACACAGCTCTGGTGGTAATTAGCTGCATCCCTCCAAGGACATGTGGCCCTCTTGGGAACGGGAGTTTTGTGGTAGTTACAGCAAGTCCCCGGCGAGACTCACTCGCAGACTTGTGCCAGGGTCGGGTTTTCAGCTTTTTTGCCCTCTGTTTTCGTCATTAGTTTCTCCTCTGTGCGTTCTACTTGCTGAGCAGCATGGTTGTAATATGAGTTCTTTTCAGATTTGCCACTAGTACCTTGTTTGAACCAGTGCCGGCAAAGTCCTGACTCGGTTTGTGCTCCAGGTGGGGGTCGGATTTAAGTGTTCTTCAAAAAGCTTTTATGCTGCAGGAAGGGTGCTCCTTGTGCTGGCAACAGTTTTGTATCTCTGCCGCCTGATAACCAGCACCTCCTTCCCTCCAGCAACTGTGTTCAAGGAAGAAATTTCCCCCTAAAAATGTGGAAGTGCCGTTTGTTCTGCCAAATCCAACTGGGGCTTCATCATCTCTCTGATTTATTGTCCTCGCTGATGGGATGCTCCTGCTGTGGGTGAATCATAGAATGGTTTGGATTGGAGGGGACGTGAAAAATCATCCAGTTCCACCCCCTGCCGTGGGCAGGGACACCTCCCACTATCCCAGGTTGCTCCAAGCCCTGCCCAGCCTGGCCTTGGACACTCCCAGGGATGGAGCAGCCACAGCTGCTCTGGGCAACCTGTGCCAGTTTGAAACATCTCTGAGAGGTGACTCTCTCTGTAGCTTGGTAGAAGAACATTCTCCTCCTTTTTAACACCCAGGGCAATAGAAGGGGAAGAAGGTGGTTCCCTCTTGCTTTACAAGTGAATAATTTGACCATAAATGGGAACCAAATGATATTTTAATTTTTCTGTGTGTTCAGGATGGAACAGCGGTGTGAGATCAGCAGGTTTTACCAGAAGAGGAGGGTTGTTCTCCCAATATCTCTGCTTTGTCCCTGGTTTTATGTGTTCAGTACCATCCAGAAAACTCTTGGTTTGATTGTAATTTGCATTTAGATTGGCTGCCTGAAGGGAGTCGCTTGCGAGGGGAGATGGGGCTCTGTGGCTTCAGTCTCTTGCAGATCTGGCTGAAAGTAATGGCATTTACATAAAAACCATTAGCTCTGTTATTGATAAACATGAAAGGCATCCATTTCATTTAATTTTCTGATGAGGAGCCTTTAATATAAGCACACAATAGCACTGAGGTAGTAACATTCCTGCTCCCCATCCCTCCGAGCTGACCTCTTGTTTTAAGGGCAAGTTTTGATTGGGATTTTGTTGGTGGGGAGATGGGAAATCATTTCTGTTCCAATTTCCTGAAGTAGCCAGTTGTCTGGCTACATTGTAGGGAATTATTTAATGCTCATTTTAAGAGGTGTCTCTATTAATTGAAGGGGGATTTAATGTCTCCCCGAAGCACAATTGCTCCGTGTGTGATGTACAACCACCACGTACGTCTGGCACTTCTAGGGATAATCTTTTCCTTAATCAAAAGGGGTTTAAGCACAGCTTCAGTGGCTCCTTATTAAGGGGATAAAGTGTGTTGAAACAACAAATCTGTTCAAGGGAACTTGTCTGGTGCCTTGGCAGATCACAGCCCACGGAACCCTCCAGCACCGAGTCTGCCCCAGCGTTTGTGCAGCACCGCACTGGTGACAGAACGTGCCAGCAGGAGCTGTGATTCACCGGCTCTGGAGTAACTGGCTTTGTGGAGCAGTTGCTGCTGCTCCCTCATATAAATATCTGCCTTTTCTCCTGGGCTGGGTCGGGTCTGACCTCGGGAGCCTCCAGAGGCAGCCGGTGCCGCGGTTGTTTCTCACCATCACAGCGTTTGCTGGAGAGACCTCGCCGTGAGCTCTGCAAGCTCTTGCAGTTCTTGACCTCAGAGCTGAGGGGGTGTGTGTTTATTTCTATTTTGCATTCCTTACCTGGCCTACTTCTTGATTTTTTTTTATATATTTTTCCCCATAAATTTTAAAAATGTTTCACAATATTTTTGTTGCCTTGCCCGTACTTACAACTCTTTTTCCTCTCTAACAGGCTCCAGACAGATGAGTAGGGAGCTGGCCACAGAAGAGGAACACATTCCAGTTTTCCAGCTGATCGCCCTGTACAGTGAGTACCTTAATATTTCAAGAATAAAACTTTCTGCAGTGCCTGATGTTGGCCTAAAACTGCCTCCACAGGGGCACAGCATTAACTCTGCCTGCCTGGACGGCGTTGTCCTAGAAATACAGGTGTCCTTGGCTTAACCCTTGTGTTGGGAGAAGTGTTGCTCCAGCTCCTTCTGTCTGAGGTGGTAAATTGTATCCATATTCCACTTCCAGAGTGGTGAAGTTGTGTCTTGTACCTGCTCAGGGCTGTGAGGAATCCACGCTAAGGGTGTCCTGTGCTGCAGGAGCAGGAGTGGAGATGGTCTCCAGGGCCATTCCAGCCTCGTTGGAGGTGTGGGATGAGCGAGGAGGCTGGATGAGGGATTACTCATAAAGGCTGCTGTGAAATCAGGCAAACGAGGCTTGGCCTGACTGGTGGGCGGCAAAAAAAAAGCGCTGGGAAGCGTCTCCTAGTTCATGGTGAGGATGGCAGGAGAAAATCAGGGTTTCACGGGGGATTTTTGCACATTAAAATGTCTCCCATGCCTGTTAATGGGCTGTAGTAACGAGCCTGTGCTTTATGAGGTGTCTGCAAACATATTAGGATGCGCTACTGTGAGGGACTCCAGGTTGTAAATGCTGGATAAGCAGAACATCTTGGCCCGTCTGGTGCCAGACTGGAAGGGTTAATTGCCTTGTGGGTGTCTGCAAGCCAGGAGGACGCTCTGCTGCAGGGTGGAAAATGCAGTGGAGCGTGGGAGCTGCACCCGCTGACTGAGACCACTGCACAGTTCAGTTCATCGTGGCAGCCCTGGCAGGTGATTCCCTAAGGATACCACGGGACGGTGAATTTTGACGCTGAGGGTGTTTGGTAGTGAGAGTCAAGGACGGAATAATGCACTCTGAGACTCTGGCTTGTGTCGTCAGGTTGGTGTGGATATATCCAGGGAGAAGGGCAGAGAATTCCTGTGCTTCTGGGAAAGAAGGGGAGAGAGAGAGGTGTGTGGGTGTGTGGTTTGTGGCTTCCTCACTGCTCCTACATCCGACCAGTGCATCATGATGCGCAGGGTGCCCTTGGTTCAGGTGTGTTACATACTGATGGAGCTTGTCGTGCTTCTGGGTTCAGGACAGTCTGTCTTCCCTAATTCTGTGCCAAGCGCAGCAGCAGGGACTCTCCTCAGCTCCCGTGAAAAACTCCAGGGTGAATAATAACCCTGGAAGTAGCGGAGAGGTCACCTGAAGGACGAGCAGCGCTGTTATTGACCAGCTGTGCCACCGCGCCGTGGTCCTCATCGACAGCTCTAATCCCAGGGTGCGCTCCCGGGCAGATCTGCTGACTCCAGGAGCTGCAACATCGATACCATTGAATTCTCCTTCCCCCTGCATATCTCACGGAGGAGGTGGGGAGTTTGCAGCCTAACAGCTGTGCAGGCTGCACAGGCTGCCCAGGCTTCCCCCAGGGCATAATTTGGGCTGCACGACATTTGTTACGCTGGTGTCCTGCGCTGCAGGCTCAGCCCTGACCTTCAGGAGCTGCCTGTGGGCCCCGTGGCTGGGGGAAGGAGTGTAGGAGACAGGGATTTGGGGCTTGGGAGTCCTTTTTAGGGTGGAGGACAGTGATTAAAAGCAAGAAGGCTGCATGTGTGAATTTAGGTCAGTGGGAGATAGCTGAGCAAAGGGCTGTTCTTGGCAGGGAGCTGGAGCAGAGGAGATGCTGCAAACAGCCTGTGGTTGCCGTGGAACAGAGTGGGAAAACAGCCCGTTTCAAGGGAGTCCTTAACAAGTCATTTCTCTGCAAGACTCCATGGCTCCGGGTGTCTGAATAACCAGGCTGGCATTGGAATATAAAAATATTTTCAGGAGGCTCCTCTTCAGACGTGACCTGAGGCTTCCTGGCTCGGCAGCAGAGCCAAGAGCTGTGGGAGGTCGTGTCACAGGCCCCTTCCTATGAGGATGTGGCATCATCCCTGTGAACATGAGCTCGGCTCTGGTGCTTCCTGTGCACCACGTGGCCTCCCGTGGTCTGTCTGCTCACAGCTGCAGTTGAGAAGGACAAGGGAGAGCAGTTAATTGGGCAGGGAGGATTTGTGCTGCCTGTACCTCCTTGCCTGCGCTTCTCCTGGGAGCTCTGGGCAGTGAAGGGGTGGAATTCCTGCCTCTTGGATGCAGAGGGCACTGGGGGAGTGGAATTCCTGCTTCTTGCCGCTGTTCTTCTCAGGAGATGCTGTAGGTTCTTGTCAGCTTCTTTAACACCTCAGAACGTGGGAGGCCGAAGGTCTGTCCTGTCTCCAGCCGTGGCAGGTAGGAATGTCCTTCATCTCACATCCATTTATGTATCTCAGGGGTAGTTTTCAGGCTCCGTCCTGTCACCAGGCATTTCAAAGTTGACGAACCACTTCCTCCTGGTGACTGCACCGACTGCCAGCTCGTTTAACTGCCCTGAGCTCCTGCCTGGGGAGTTGTTGTTTGCATGTTTGCATGTTTGCTGGTAAAGTTCTGTCAATCCCTCCCATGGCCCCTGTCAGAGGCCTCTTTTCCAGGCTGAAGTGTCCTGATTCATTCACTGGTCCCTACAGAGTCTTTGGCCTCCATGACCTTTGGTCCTCCGTGTCTCTGACCATCTGCACTATTATTTTGTCCTCCTGGTGGGTAATTTTTGGTCATGGTGCACATCTCTTTTTTTTTTTTTTTTTTTTTTCTCCTCTTGAATGTCCTTGCTAGAAGCTTGACAGAACCTGAGGGCCTGTCCTTTTTCCTGCAGTTCTCTGTATGTACAACCCTGGAAAAAAAACCCTGGAATTTTGATGCTCCCCGTAATAAGCCACAGACTTATTTTTGTTTTCTAAAAAGCAGAAGTTTATGTGCCTAATCTAAGAATTCTCTCAGAAAAGCCACGAATAAACCTGATAACCTTGCAGTGCCCTGAATCACTAGAACAAGGCAGTGTTCGACAAGGAGCCCTGGCAGAGGTTGTGTGAAGTGTCAGCCAGGATACGGGATGTCTCTTTGGATCCTGCAGCAGTTTTGGGAAATTAAATGGCTGCTGGTGTCTGCTGCATCTTCTGAAGGGGGACAGGAAACACTCTGGGTGTTAAACCTGCTTGGTTAAGAAATGATACCAAAAGAGAGAATTGGATATTAGGCTTATTTAGATAAATATAAATCATTGTCATCAGACAGGTTCTGCAGGGGCAAGGCCTGGCCCTCCATCCCCTCTACTTTGCATGAGTGATATTTGTTTTATCAGTGCTGTGGCTTCCCAAAAGCAGAACTGGAATCTGTGAGGTGAATTAACTCCCAGGGCTGCAGCCTGAGCTGCAGGGAAGCTCTGCAGCCTGACCTGCCCGGGGCTGGGACAGGGCTGTGGTTTTTTCCAGCTGCCCTGACTCACATCTGTGGCTTCTGTGCTGCCCTGAGGTGAGTCAGGGCTCCCATGGGGCTGATTAAAGCCCTGCCCTGTGGGCAGCCTGGGAAACCTGGGCCTCCCTTCAGCTGAATCAGAGCTCCAAGGATCATCCCGAGCAGTTTTCCCGAGTGTTGAGGCTTTATCTTCCACGCCCTTCAAGCTCTGCTGCTCTTTCTGCCACCGTGCTTTCCTTCTTTCCTCTCTGCTGCCTTCCCTAGCCTTTCCTTCCTGCCCAGAGAACCCCCAGAGCCACCCAGACCTGTCTGGGCTTTTTTTTTTGGTGGCTTCTGTTCTGCACAGAGGAGCCAAAGGATCAAATCCTGGAGTCACTTTTGTCCCCGGTGTGTGTCAGCAAATGCACCATCATCTCACTGCACAGATTGGTCCAGACACTGGTAATAAAACACCAGCTCCCTGAAGCCTCTCCTGGCCTGCCAGGATGTGTCACCCTGCTCACACAGTCCTGAATCCAAGCACTCTGGAGTCCTCCTGGACAGGGAACGTGAGGAGGAGGAGAAGAGGGAGAGAAATACATCCAGAAATTACGGGTTGATTTCAAATCTATCTCTGCTCAGGGGTGTCTCAGCCCCTGCTTGTGGGTGAAGACTGGAGGCTTTTTCTTCTTTCCTTGCCTTCATATATATAAATATATATAAAAATATATATTTATGGTCCTTTCTCATTCTTCTCTTTACGTTTATGGGAAGTTGCACAGAGCCAGCTCGCCAGCCCACAGACATCCCACTATAACAATTTAGCAAGATAGTAAATTAAGAGTAATTTTTAATCTGGTTGGGAGGAGAACAGCCAAATTGGCTGTTTCTCCTTGTTGGTCTCAGCATTATTTTTGGCCTGGCAATCCTTGGAAGGGTGTAAAATGCACCAGACATGGATCTCTCTGCAGGAGTGCTCAGCTCTTCCTGGACAGCAGAGAAACACTGCAGCTCTTTATTTATATTTTACTCTTTTTTTTTTTTTTTTTTCAGTACACTGGGGTGAATAATACATCCAGTGTGGAAAGGCCTTGTAAAATGCTGAGCTGTGGGTTGGAATTCTGCTCTGCCCAGGAAAATCTCTTGCCGTGAGAGTCTCCCTGCAGGGGGAGCTTGGGGCGAGGGAAGGTTTGGAGTCCCTGCTGGGATCCAACCACACCAGGGAAATGCTGTGCTATAAACAGGGAACTGGGAGAATCCAGCCCTTGCTGGGGACTTTTCCAGTTAATGCAGCCATTGACGGTGGGATTGGAGGCTGTGTGGGACAATGCTGTGGTGGAGGAGCTGGAACAGGCGGCCTTTGTGACACCATCACAAAGCCACCAGTATGTGCTTGGAGGGCTCTCCTGCTTGCTGAGCCTGTAATATCAGCCCAGGTCCTGTTCTCCTCCCCTCCCTGCCAGGAACTGGTTTGTGTTTGGGGAGAATAAGTCACTGTTCGTGGGTGTTTATTTCTTTTCTGCTCACAGCTCTTCTTGGATCGTGTGGGGGATTAGAGGAAAGGAGCTCAAGGGAGGAAAAAACCTTGAGGTGGCCTGTGGGATCTTCCCCAGAATGTTCCCTCCTCCTGCTCTCCACAGCTCCCTGGCAGGAGGCTGTGGGGAGGTGGAGGTCAGTCCTTCT